CCTTCCAGGGAGACAGAGGGCCAGTTTGAAGCCTTTTCTGGATCCCGTCCGGATCTGAGCTGAGCTAAACAGACTCCACCCAATAGTACTCCAAAGACCCTCTTAGCCCTCCACTGGTCTGTTTAGGATTAGAGAAATTAGTGTTAAGGAGGATACGTGTTATAAAGAGGGGGAAAGAAAAAGGAGGGAACTGGAATTTACCTGTATTTCATTCCTAGATGGGTTTCAAGGGCCACCTTGGGATGAGATGGGAGAGGGAGGAATGTACTCATCACATTGATGTCTCTGCCCACGAATTGAAGTAATTTCTTCTAAGTAACAGTGAATTCCAGTTGTACAACTTACCTTCTACTTTAGGAAGGTGAGTCACTGTCTTAGTTTGCCCCCTCTCCAAAAGACATTCTCTACACCACTGTGCATTTACACATCATTTATAGGACATATTTGGGGGGCGGGGATGACGGCATATTCATGTAGCAGGGAGCATCTGCACGGTGTGCCAAGCATTTTACTGTTTAAGTGCAGCCTGTCCCATTTTACAGATGGCACAATTAAGTAACATTCTCAGGGACACAACTACTAGGTTGTGAAATCTGGAATTAAATCTAATGTATCTGTTACCTACATTTGCATTGGAATTGCTATCTCCTAAATGCAACACTTTCTGTAAGACCAGTATATCATTTAAATAATGTCTCGTGAGAGACATTCTTAGTCCTGTTCATGGGTGCAAACCAGGTCCAGAGAAGAAGTAACAAGTGAAGCTGTATGCTATCTTGTTCATAACTGTCTTTTCCCAGAACTCGGTATATCAGCACGGAGCTGGGCATCAGGCAGAAGCTGCTGGTGGCAGTGCTGACCTCACAGGCCACGTTGCCTACTCTGGGTGTGGCTGTAAACCGAACTCTGGGACACCGATTGGAGCATGTAGTGTTTCTGACCGGTGCGAGGGGCCGCCGGACACCATCAGGCATGGCGGTGGTGGCACTGGGCGAAGAGAGGCCCATCGGACACCTGCACCTGGCGCTGCGCCACCTGCTGGAGCAACACGGCGATGACTTTGACTGGTTTTTCCTAGTGCCTGATGCCACCTACACTGAGGCGCATGAATTGGACCGCCTAGCTGGCCACCTCAGCCTTGCTTCCGCAACTCATCTGTATCTTGGCCGGCCGCAGGACTTCATCGGCGGAGAAACTACCCCAGGCCGCTACTGCCACGGAGGCTTTGGAGTGTTGCTGTCTCGCACACTACTACAGCAACTGCGCCCCCATCTGGAAAGCTGCCGCAATGACATCGTCAGTGCTCGCCCCGATGAGTGGTTGGGCCGGTGCATCCTAGATGCCACAGGCATTGGCTGTACTGGTGACCATGAGGTAGGAAAATAAGCCTCCCAATTAGTGTCTCCTCTCAGAGCTTGCATACCCAGGAGAGGTATGGAGGAGTGGAGATAGACGTCTGGATTTTCTCTGTTAATCTATCATTAAAAAAAAAAATCCCAGTGGCTCTATGTAAATTACTAGATCTGAGCTTCAGTAGCCTCATGTGTGCTAATGGAAACAATTATTAGGCAGATCTGTATAGGGATTAGGGGAAAGTAAGAGATCTTTGCACATAATATATATTCAGTGTTAGCTGTTTTATTTAGCTCTGTGGACACCTCTGAGGCAGCTTTCACAGAGGAGCTCACAGAGACCTGATCAGGCCTGACATCAGCTGGTCAAATAGACTTCCACAGAACTCTGACTTCCAAGTCCGTAACTGGTTATAGGATTAGAAGATGAGACACTAGCTAAGAGACAGAGGAAAGACAGCTCTGCCGTTCCTGTTTTGAATGCTTCCCTTCCTCTCCCCAGGGAATGCACTACAACTATCTGGAACTGAGCCCCGGGGAACCTGTGCAGGAGGGAGACCCTCGTTTCCGCAGCACCTTGACAGCCCACCCTGTGCGTGACCCAGTGCATATGTACCAGCTGCACAAAGCTTTTGCCCGAGCTGAGCTGGACCGCACATACCAGGAGATTCAAGAACTGCAGGTATACCCTGGGCTCGAGGGTAGAGGAGCCCAGGAATGAAGGGAAACAGGTCCTGAGAGACCTCGGGGGAATAAAAAGTCAGTGATAAAGTCGCAGAGCAAGCACACTGCCAGGTCAATGACCTGTGTGAAACCTCCAGGAAACTCCCCTTTTAACTTTTAAACTGTCTCAATCTGTGGGGAAACTGCGTGGGGCCCTTGGGTTTACGGGGCAGAGGTTTACAGTAAACTGCAGGTCCTCCCTGAGTATCACTGACTGTCCACACAGCCTCTAGATGTGTGCTGGCTATGTGACCCCGTGCTTTGCTCATGGCTTATTTTTCCGGCCCAGTGGGAGATCCAGAATACCAGCAGACTGGCTGCTGATGGGGAGAGAGCCTCTACCTGGCCAGTGGGCATTCCAGCACCGTCTCGCCCTGCCTCACGCTTTGAGGTTCTGCGCTGGGACTACTTCACGGAACAGTATGCTTTCTCCTGTGCTGATGGCTCGCCTCGCTGCCCGCTGCGTGGGGCCGACCAGGCTGATGTGGCTGATGTCCTGGGGACAGCCTTAGAGGAGCTCAACCGTCGTTACCAGCCCGCGCTGCGGCTCCAGAAGCAACAGCTGCTGAATGGCTACCGGCGTTTTGATCCAGCCCGAGGCATGGAGTACACACTAGACTTGCAGCTGGAAGCGCTGACGCCCCAGGGTGGCCGCTGGCCCCTCACTCGCAGGGTGCAGCTCCTGCGGCCCTTGAGCCGAGTGGAGATCTTGCCCGTACCCTATGTCACTGAGGCTTCTCGGCTTACTGTGCTGCTGCCTCTGGCTGCAGCAGAGCGCGACCTGGCGTCTGGCTTCCTGGAAGCCTTTGCCACCGCAGCACTGGAACCTGGTGACGCGGCAGCCTTGACCCTGCTGCTACTGTACGAGCCCCGCCAGGCCCAGCGGGCAGCCCACGCAGACGTCTTCGCACCCGTCAAAGCCCATGTGGCGGAGCTAGAGCGGCGTTTCCCTGGTGCCCGGGTACCCTGGCTCAGTGTGCAGACAGCTGCGCCCTCTCCACTGCGTCTCATGGATCTGCTCTCCAAGAAGCATCCACTAGACACTCTGTTCCTGCTGGCCGGGCCAGACACAGTACTCACACCTGACTTCCTGAACCGCTGCCGCATGCATGCCATCTCTGGCTGGCAGGCCTTCTTTCCTATGCACTTCCAGGCCTTCCACCCTGCTGTGGCTCCACCTCAGGGGCCTGGGCCACCAGAACTGGGCCGTGACACTGGCCACTTTGATCGTCAGGCTGCCAGTGAGGCCTGCTTCTACAACTCTGACTACGTGGCGGCCCGTGGACGGCTGGCGGCAGCCTCCGAGCAGGAGGAGGAGCTGCTGGAGAGCCTGGATGTGTATGAGCTGTTCCTGCGCTTCTCCAGCTTGCACGTGCTGAGGGCCGTGGAACCAGCCTTGCTGCAGCGCTACCGGGCCCAGCTGTGTAGTGCGCGGCTCAGTGAGGACCTTTACCATCGCTGCCGCCAGAGCGTACTTGAGGGCCTTGGCTCCCGCACCCAGCTTGCCATGCTGCTCTTTGAGCAGGAACAGGGTAACAGCACCTAAGCCTCTGCACCTGTCCCTGCTCTTCCCCAGTAACCTGGAGCCACATGCCAGCCTCGCTGGACAGGGCTGGCTGTAGCCTCAGACCCTAGGGCAGTCCACTGGTCCCTTGTCTCTTGCTTTGTTGGACCTATGGGCTCAGGACAAGCCCTGAGACAGGTGCCCTAGAGCCATCCTTGTCCAGTCCCCCTGCCCCTTTGACGCTGCTGATTTCAGGCTGTGGCCTCTGTTTATGCCTAACGCCAGCCATGCTTCCTGGGCTCCTGTCCTGGGGGCTGGGCTGTAGATGAGTTTTCGGAGAAGGTGGAGCTGAGAAAGGAAGCGTATGGTATCTACTACCTTCTCCCTTCTGGATCCAGGATGAAGCCCTGGCTTTAATAAACTGGCTAAGTGTGGACTAATGAGTGAAGACTGGTAATTCAGTTTTGGCAAGGTAGGCACAGGAGAAGAACTGACTGAGGATGGAGGAGCCCTGGGTCTGTGGGCGCCTTCTTTTCCTTCTTCAGGGATCAAGTCATATAGATGCCCAGCCCCCAGCAAGTGCATGTGAACGAGCTCTCTCTCTTTTACTCTCCCTCCATGTTTCCTCCCCTTCTCTCTCTCTCTCTCTCTCTCTCTCTCACACACACACACACACACACAGACACAGACACACACACACACAGACACACACAGACACAGACACAGAATTATTTGTGCCTCTTTATTCCTAATTTTACCAGACTTTATAAAACCAGTCTCTAGGGAGCAAGGCCTGAGAAGGCCGCCACCCCTCCCCCTAAGCTCAGCCAAGGTCTGAAAGGTCTTTCCACCCACTCCCGGTGAAGGGAACTTGTGGTGGGGCTGGTACAGGGGGAACTGGGATCTGGGCCAGGCCTGCTGGGCCACCCACTCCCCCTGCCAAGAGGGAGCTGGGTCTGAAAAGAGGGAAGTAGAACCAGCCCAGCATGCCTGGGTCCCAAGGAGTTGCCTTCTGCCATTAGGGCTGGGACCCTGACTATCCTGTGTCACCCTCCCCTGTAGCCCCACCCTTCTATGTCTGCGTCCCACCCCCACCCAGTCCCTAAATATATACAAATGTACAGAGGGGCTCTGCCAGGGTTCTACCTTCCTCCCTCTCTTCCTCCCTCCCCTCAGGGCCTCTAGTCTGGTCTCCACCCCTGCCTGGACACCTGCCTGGGAGCAGGGGGACAAGAAGGACCCTTGTGTGAGGCAGCTGAGCCTGGGTCAGGGAGAGCAGGACCCTAGTCCTGGCCTCTCAGTGAGCACCGCCCCTTCCCTTAGCCCTGGGCTGCCCCAGACCGTCTGTCCCAGGAGTAGGAGGTGTGTGGGGTCTTCCTAGAGTCCCAGTTTCATGGGTACTTTCCCCACACAGCACCACCCTAGCAAGCAAAGTCTTCAAAAAGGCTTCCTGGGGGGCCGTGGGGGTGGTGATGGTTGGGAAGCAGGCTGCTAGCCCCCCCACCCTCAGCACGGCCCCGGCTTGGACAGGGACTCTGTAAAACAGAAAGGGGACAGATGGGACAGTGGTCAAATTGTGACTCAAGTTTGCCCTCTCTCCTGGGGTGTCTTGGAAATTTCAGGAAGTGGTTCTGGGGAGAGGTCACCAACCTGTTCCTTCAGCTCCTGCAGCCCCAAAGTGGAGATGCCCCCAGTAGATGTCCGCAGTGGGGTCTTGGGCCGTCGCCACACCCTCTTGAGTCGATCCCAGGAGACCTTGCAGGTCAAGGTGGAGGTGTCAAGAAAGGCCTGTTATAGGACTTGGTGCCTAACAGGGCACCAGTAGGGCTCCCTATTCCTCAACCTAACCTCTTCAGACCCAGGCCCTCAGGCACTTCTAGAACCCCCGAGTCCACTGTCCACCCGAGAACCTGCACCACTCTTTGCCTTTGTTTACCTCATAGATGTAGTCAAGAATCTCCAGCAAGGTGAGGATGCTAGCCCCAATGAACAGCCCCATCTGTCCCCCAAGGTCCCCTGAGGAGAGAGGGAAGGGTCAGTGGGAACAGGCTGGGCTGAGCCACACAGGAGTGGGGCCAGGGTCAGGGCTTACCCAGCAGGGCTGACAGGCCATAGGCGGCTCGTTGTTCCATGGCTTCAGAAGTTAGGGCCTCAAAAAAGACATCCAGGACCAAGAAGTTCTCCCTGGGAGACATGAAATGACACCTGTGTTGGGCTGCTGGTTTTCTTGAGGCAGCTGGCAAGGTCATCCCCAGCTGATCCTCATCTAAGACCTCTGTGTGCTGTGAAGTTGGCAACCTCCAGCTCCCAAAGGGAGCTAGTAGGCCCAGCTGTGTTAGCTTCATGGTTTTTGTTGTGGTGGTTGTTTTGCTTTGTTTTTCTGAGAAAGGGTTTCATATAGCCCTGGCCTTGAACTCCCTATGTATCTGAGGAGAAATATAAATGGGTCTAAATGATACATCATCTAAGTAAGGTCTGTGCAGTGGCAGGGGTACTAGGAACTATGGCAGCTCAGACTTGGACTGGGACGGGCTTTTCTGGAAGAGGACCAGGATGTAACTTAGAAAGATTTTGGATGACACTCCTGGAAGGAGACCCAATATACACAAAGACAGCAGCTCCTTCCCAGTCTCTTCTGTGCCCCAGGCCTGCTAAAGGGCTCTCTCCACAAAGCTCGTCTGTGGGCATGGCTCACCCTGCTAAAGGGCTCTCTCCACAAAGCTCGTATGTGGGCATGGCTCACCCTGCTAAAGGGCTCTTTCCACAAAGCCCATCTGTGGGCATGGCTCACCCTGCTAAAGGGCTCTCTCCACAAAGCTCGTCTGTGGGCATGGCTCACCTTATGTAGGTCTCATTGCGGTTGTACTTCCTCGCCAGGTACCTGGCTGAGCCCCTGTTGGGGATCTTGACCATGGAGATCTCTTTGCCGTAACGAGTCAGGTTGCAGGGTGTAGGGCAGAAGCATGGGCCCTCAGAGCCCCCACCCAGGGAGTCTGCAACACAAAGGCACCTGTTGCAGCAGGGAGAATGGCCCACAGGCACAGCAGCTATGGGGATAGGCACAGAGGCTATCCTGAGCTGGCATGTCCATTCAGAAGGCCAGACCTGTCACCTTCTAAAGCCTGCTGACTGGGGTCCCCCTCAGACCACCTTTAAATGACCCATGACAGCTGCACATCTCTCTCTCTCTCTCTCTCTCTCTCTCTCTCTCTCTCTCTCTCTCTCTCTCTC